TTTCATTGTTGACTCAAAGATTCAATGGGTTAAAACGTACTTAGAGATGCTGTCGTAATTCAATAAACCAGCGAGTGATGTATGGACGAAAGCAGTCATAATTTGAGGAGTGGGTCACATCGTCTCACATTTTGTGCATTCGAACCCACTAACACCGACTAGCTTTCTCTTTCCTGTGTGTCACATAGCAGCCTTTTGACAGACTTGCATCCTGAAAATTGTTTTTGTCATCGTCAGACAGGAGTAACTATGCGACATCGACGATCACTCAGCATATTTAATCGAGGAAAATGTTCAATACGAACAACACAGACTTCAGATCCACACAATAATATAACGTATACTGTGACACTGTTCACTCCATTTATGCGGGTAAGGCTACTATCGAGTTTGTGTCCCGGATATCCCGAGAAAAAGGAGGCTAGAAGGATCTTTTCTCCGCTCACGGTGACCTCTTTGCTCACATCTTTACCAGTTATTGTGCGGTTTTCAAGATAAACATGCTAAGTAACGAAGTTCAGCTCTCCATAGCCTAAAACGATTACAGGTATACGCTCCTGACAGTCTTGGATGAGTTCTTTGAAGATATCAAGTCCATTCCATAAGAAGTCACTTCGGTCGACAGAATGTGCAAAATTGTATAGTGCCAGTATGTTTGTTAAACTCGAGGAGATATCGAATAACGATTGAAACGATGATTATAATGCACTAGTAGGTTCTTAAAGAGACACTGGCAGGTAAGCTGTTGGGCGTAAGTCGTAGCTCGATGATGTGAAACTAATTTGCTAGTGATTCGAAATTCAAAAAGCGCACAAATGGCTTGGTTGTGCAGTAAGATGGTCTGTTGGATGAAGACAAGCGTAAGGCAGTGTGCCCGACAGAAATAAACATAACCTGTACCTATGGATTCAGTGGAATGTCCTGCTTTTACATATGGATGGTGATTTTGTACACATTTTACGGCACGAATTGCATGACAGATAGAACAATATTGTTTGTAAATTTTCATACGTATGCCTTGTCAAAAAAACTGAGAGAAGATGAGGAGGTGAAAGACAGAGTACGGGGGAACACAATTAGTCCCAGATTGCTCAAAGACTGAAGGCCTTTGACGTGTTCAAATACCAAAATACGGGAAGCCATGATATGATGTAAGACACCGGGCTATTCTCAGGCAAAAGTAGTTCGATTTAGGATACGCGCACAATGATATGCCATTGAAGGAACATTCACTTCAGTTCCTGACTCACACGGTTAGCTTAGGCACCAGTGTAGCTACGTGTTATGTGCATTTTGAACTTAATCCTTGTGAAGTGCTACCTTACTACGAGTGAGCGCCCATCGATGGATTTCGCAAATATTCTTCGCTCTGTCTTCCTTACAAGTTTCAGTTTGTTTATACACCGTAAATTCCGTTATTCTCCTTAGTGAGCAGTTGTCACTGCCACTGATAGGCATTTGATCCTTTCTTACTAATAATTTAGGTCACTCGACCTTCGGTTGAGCCTATACCGAGACACACAGATAATGCAGTAAAATATTACCAACATCAACATCTGAAAGTGAGATAACCCGAAGAAAACCTAGCTGATAACTAACAAACTCACACCATTCACAAAGTAAGCACGAGAGCGTGAGGTGGATGGGGAATGGATCTGTTTTCCTTGGAAGAAAGGTAAAGGAAGGTGAACCACTATGATCAACACGCAGAATGCACAATCTACCTACGCATTCACACCTGATCAAGTGTTTTAATTTGATAAGAAATGTCAACAAGAATGCTACTGATGTCCATTCACTGGCGTGTGCTTGAGTGTCTCTAGTCAACCAGTTACGGAGTCTTTTGTACCATATGCTGGAAGTCGAAAGACATCAGCTCTACTTAATCGTTCTACGCAGTTCTCTATGCTTCGTCCCCAAGTGAAGACGTGTAGCTTCAAACAATCCTCATGGAAGGTGTGCGTGTGAATACTAAACCAAGAAGCATATACCAGGGCTGAACCGAACTGCCAATTGATGTTTGTTCAGATGTCGTCTTCAGTGATAGTCAATCACTTCACTTTTGGCTCGACAGCAACGAACGGAGACACAGTTGACTATCTGTCAACTCCAATCTCACTAAATAAAGTCCTTCATGTGGGTTGCGGGCTGACGTGCAACAAATCTACTAGGCTGGGTTGATAATTTGCATGTAAGTCAATATCAACTATCCCACACAACTACTCACAAATGACTGTGAGTTACATGCCAAACTTCATGGAATTGGAGACCACTGTGTAAAAATAGTCGACAGCAAGACTTACCGGTTTAGCAGCTTTCATTGTTCGTATGATGAGAAGACAGGCACGGGCCTGGATGAAAACAGCATCGAATACCAATTTGAGCAATTCGACCAAATACTGTGGCTTCTTAACAGTGTTCAAAGCCCCACTGTCACCCTGAGCAATTGCCCTGACAAGAAGAGGGACGTGCAAAACAGTCGATGAGTTCTGATATACATAACGCAGCGAAATATAAACTGTTCAAAAAGGTTGAGCGAAATCTTACTTGGATTCGATTGCCGAGATAGCTTTCAACACAATAAATCGATGAATTTCTCCCAGCAAGCCCTGACCGACCACGAGTGGAGCGCAGAATATGTTCTGTAACCCGCCCATCAGAGAGTGTTGCATTTGTGCTAAATGGGATTGTGGCCGCCAATCGGATAGAATCTGTGAAGAGGAGGAAGATGGATAAAAGTCGGGGGTTCAAATGAAGCGATTGAATGTTTCCCCGATGATGACGAAAAGGTATTTTACCGCGATTATTTTTTTCAGATTTTCAAATACTACATCCGATCTACAAAACTCACTTGACTTCGGACACAATAAGCGCAAACATTCAAAAAGTGGAATATAAAGGTTGCACGCTTTTAAGTGAGAGCTACGGTAAGTGATTAATCATACAAAACGTAATCCTAAGATCGATTCGTCAACGAGTGAACTGTCAAGCTGCGAGAGCGCCAGTAAACCTCGTCACTGGCCGAATTCTCATCGGACTGGTGGTGCGGCTCTTCCGTATGAAATGGACACATGGACCGATTTCGGTTTGCAACATCTACTTTCAGGTTACGTCGCTCAACGATCGGCACTATTAAAGCTAGCCTCAATATGGTCAGAGTGAGCGTTTTGGATTGTGATTGGTCATCTTTAACTGACACCTCGTGAAACGCTCCCACACGACTAAGTGTGTCTACCTGCACGCAGTGAAGGTGTTCCCTAACCAAAGTGAGAAGACAATAAGTCAACATCCGAGTCAATGACGTACCAATGTACTACACACATTTGTGAGTAGTATGTTTGAAGTACGCAAACGAGTGTGATTGGTGATTTCTTACCACGGTTAAAAATAATCAAGACCTGCTGGAGCGAATCAGCATGCTTAAAATTGTAACTGCAGACAATGCAAATCTACCACCGGACTATTGCGCGTGATTATCGAAATTATGATTGATCTGTTCCAGATGAGACGCTTCGACATATGTAAGCCACGTTACCAGTGCCAGTGTGTCGTTGTTTGGAATAAGCGGCTATCCCCAAACCGGCACTAGCCTTGTGGAATTGTAACACTAGCAGTTCATTTAGAGTGGCTGGCTAAAAATTCAGATTCCAAATCAACCCCCGATCTATACTTGCTGCAGTGGTTACCTTCTTGATCCCAATGGATTGCAGTTTACAAACACCACCCCGCTGCCTAGCGGGTCAGACTTTGGTTAGCCGTGGACTCCGACTGTGAATTCCCCAAGAAAAATTACCTGTGTTGGCTTGGGACGAAGAAATCTGTGAACATCCCTCGTACATGTGATTTTATACGATCCCACTCCAATAAAACTCTCACGACTGTATATCGCTTCTGGTAAAACTCCTCATCAACTTTGAAAAAGGTGTACTTCACTTTGATCATATTCGGTTAAAATATCGTTGGTAATGAAAGACAAGCAAACTCATTGACCGGTTACAATTAAAGCGGTGTACAGTAAGAAAATACGAAAAATAAGTGTGACAAAATAAACTTCAGTTTATTTGGAGTGATTATTAAGATAAACCTTGGCAATTTTTTCTTACCCCAAAGTAGAATGCGGTCCAAAGTCCGTGTAACTTTTAGATTTTTCAGGGCAATGAACGATCGATCCGCATAAATTCTACGATATTTATCTCGTGCCTATGTGTCCCTATGGTCTTTCGTTTGGTTTCAAGAGGTGACTGGTTTGTGACCTCAAGGAAAACTGATAATACCCAACCTCGGACAGGAGAGGTGAGTGCATGAGGCACTATTCCGGTAGGGAGAAAAAATATCTAGGTACATCACTTTCAGTTTTTGCAAGACATCAATAAAAACGGAATTACTGGAGGATTTTATCTAACTACATCATCAATTTCATCGTGCACAGAGTAAACAGAGCTCGAAAGCATTGTTTAACTATTTCAACCTTATTGAGTCTCACTGGCAGAGCGAACCTATGGATTCAACTGAGGATGGAACCCTAGTTTTTCAGCTCCCAACCAAATACAACTATAGAACATTAGAGTGACGTGATCAGGTGCAAAAACAACCCCGTTTACGAGGCCAATCCATTGTAGCTACTCTCCAGGTATCGATTATGCCACTTGCCAGGAATCCGACAAATCAAACAATACAGGTCAACAATTTGAGTGATTCACATCAGGTCACAATTGAATTGCTCTTGACTTTCTTCCAACCAATGACTGATAGAAAACATCAAAAAAACTTATCCAGTGACATGCGCAAAATATGCTGCAGCCGATGAAATCCATGGAATTTGAGCGCTGGCATTAGTGAGCGTCTGCGATTCGGCCTATATATGTATAGACAGCGGTGCTCGAACACCAATAGTGTGTTTGTCTTCTACACGTGACTGTCATGTCTCTGGGACTAGTCGAAAGACTAAAATGCACATTCGATGCACTACGAACAACCGAATCTCACGGTCGCACCGAAAGTGTTCCATTCTGGACAATACTAAAACCGGCCACCTGCGGGGGCGACTATACTGCATTTCATACAGATCCGTCTGAATGGAAGCGCAGCGGTCTAGGTAACCGAATTCACCTGATCCCCGTTCACCCGTTCACCGCGGGACGAATGAGATGTGGAATGGAATTCATCCAATTCACCAACGGTATATTACATATTGAAAAATACAAAACACATGTGGATACACGACCTTCAAACTATTCGCGAACACTTGCGATCTACGTGAAATCGAACAGACGAGGTTAATTCTAGGCACAACAGATAACCACCCACAAAAGACATCCAAACATTTTTTTATTTTGTTTTTTTTTCATGTAAACAGCTTACGCAATTGATGAGACAAAAAAATGAATTTGGTCAGAAAATTAAAACGAAAAGAAACACGTGGACAGCTGAAGGATCATAGTAACAAATCAACGACTGCTTCAGTTGTACTTACAAGCAGCCGAAAAGATTCGATACTCATCATGAACAACCGATGTGGGTGAAAGGAGTGACGAGAGAGAAAAAAACAAGTCACATAGAACAATGCATGTCTATTTACCTGCGGTAACTTCTCTAACCGAGCCAGACAATGTGTCAAATCAACCAACTCTTTCATCCATTTATCATCACTTCGAACCACAGTTTTCTGGCTCGGTTCCGATGAGGATGCGTTCAGAGCAATCATGGCTGCGACACGTTGAGGATCTTTCCACATATTAGAATCGGAGGGGGACTCAGTCACGAGTGCCGTGTGCCAAGCGGATAATGGAAGAGAGGAGTAATGTGAAGTGACTGGTGCGCGACTGGGGTTCGGGCTTTTTTTGGGAGTCGGGATGAACACAGAGAGAGAGAGAAGCGGATAATAATTTAGATGCCATGGAAAATTGAGGTCAAAGTAATTTATTTTTCATTACTTAAGTACTAAAATCTTGCTTTCTCGTTCCGTTACGTCTGCATCAAAACCCTAACTTTAACGTGTCTAGACTCATGGTGAGTAGCAATTGAAGCGACCAGCGAGGAGTAATTTACCCTTTCTCATCACGTGATTAGGTAGAGCAGGTGTCTCAAGTCGTTCAGATTCGGGTCCAAAAGACTAACAACTGGGTGGTTGGAAGCACTGAACGGTATGGGAGTATCATTCTTGTCAGGCCAGGCTCCAAAAGGTATGTATTCCTAGTTAAGTTATGTTCACTATGTGTTGACCATAGAGATTCATTTCTTTTGCCTCCCTCCAATTAGACAATTCCTGTCTATCTTGTACATTCCGACTTATTTTGTGTACATTGTGAGCTTGGCTGATGATGATCATCATCATCACACGTTGAACATAGTAGAAGTGGAGAACGTGAAGAATGATGTGGAATTCGATTGTAATTTTGTGTTGAGCGTCTTCAAATCTACGCCGCATTGATGATGTCCTTCGAAAAAATAACAGAACAAGCAGAGTAGAGTTTTAAGTAATCGCGGTCGCCCACCGGGGCATGTGTTCAACCTCCACAGATTACGCTGACTAGGGTGTGTTGCGCACGGCACTAAATACATTGTCACGGCATGTGATGCTTCCTGGGTCAGTTAACAAATGGAAGTCAAAAGTGGCAAAACTAAGACCTGGTCACGGCGTGAAAAACCTAACCAGGAGACTCGGTCTCATAGGTCCCCTTGGATTTCGTGGATGGGGACCTTAGGATGGGCATACCCGATAGATAAGTGTCATGAACGGTGGCATTCGTACATTTCACAATCTTTGCAAACTTAATCTACCAGAATTCTCTGCTATCAGTTTGAAACCGCTTTCAACATTCCGATCTTTCTTCTACTCCTTCGTCCAAATGGGTACCTCAAAACCAACAAAACAAACGTCACATGAAAGTGCATGGATAACGGTTATGTAAACTGAAAAACTGGAAGTGAACATCTTCGTGAGGTTATCGACTTTGCTGAATGCATCTTGAATAATACATAGTAGAATGGGTCGTGCCATTCAACGGTTTAGTGCAGTCTATGGTGAGGCTGAAACCGGCGAAGCGGCTTATTTGTGTATTAGCAAAAGTCATCACCTTCTAAAGGATGAGTGTGGCCGGGGATAAGCATCTTGGTTTGTGACTGTTCACCCGTTTATTTTATCTTGCGAAATATAATTGAGAGTTTCAACTAATCACTGCTGAGGAAGCCCCCGCTTACTATCTTCGGATGACGGAGGTATTTTGCAACCAAAATGACAGGACGAAAAGACAACAGCCAGAGTCATCATCAGCAAATCACCTGGGGATGCTGGCAGAAAATCTAATTTTAAACCAGCCAGTCAGAAACATAAGAACCGCACTCATGCCTTTCTGGATTCGGTAATGGTAACCGACTTAATTGCGTGTCGAAGTGTATCGAACATCTCGGATGATCGGCCTCGTCGAACGGGGGCATATTGTCTGATAAACAGGACACCATATCCCTATAACTTACTGGTTTGAGCTTCGTTCTGATGTCATGTTTGTTTGAATTTCTAATAAAAGGATATATATGCACACCTGGATAAGGTAAAAGTCATCCTGAGCAAGGAGGGATGTTGTGCACGAAGTGGATGAGAACAAGAATTATATATACACACACACACACACCCCGCCTCCCCAACATATTGCGAAGAACAAATTCTTTTCAAATAGAACAAGGGGTGGCGAACAAGCTTGTTTTCAGTGATTTGTAGTCATGCCAAATACATCACAATAAATATTACGCTGAGATAATTGAGAATTCCATATCCGGTCCCAAGATGAACTTAGCCCCAGATAACCCATGAGGTTATTTTCCCTTTCCCGAAACATTTGTTTGCGTTTTTATGATTGAATACTGATTTATATATAAACAGCGTAATATTTATTGTGATGTATTTGGTATGACTATGAATCACTGAAAACGAGCTTGTTCGCCACTCCTTGTTCTATTTGAAAATGTACTCTGTGGGACTGTTTAGACAATAAATTCTTTATTAGATTTCGCTAAGGGCCCTCCACTTTACCATGCGAACAGTACATTGTTAAGTGATGCGTTCAGCAAATACAAATGTTTATTCCGAGATAGAAATGGTTCTAACAACAACTACAATAAGCAAAGCTTTTACTCGGAAAACTCTATAGCACAAGTGGTGCAAACTCACGTGAACGATTTATCCGGAGAGGATTCTGTGCTCTGCACTTGGTTGGCAGATCGATGATGCTGTTCTTTCAGGTACTTCTCCAGAACCACACTGGTTGGTTTATCATATAGCAGCGAACGTAATCCGTTCTTCATCTGCTCCGCTATAAACTGTAACCAGACCAAATGCAAGCAAACATGACTTTTTAAAACAATAGCGAACTCGTTACAAAAATAAACCAACGGTTATGTGCGAAACGATTTGAAACTGAGAAAAAGCAGGTTGAAAAAGATGGAAAAAAAACAAGAGTAACAGAAATGAAAGCTTAGACATCATGGTTCGAATTGAGATATTGGACCAGGCTACGACAAGTCTAAGTGAAACCAATTGTTACTCGGCGCTTCCATAGAACAGGGAATAGGTGAGAGGTTCTCTAGGTGAATATCGTTGTACTGAATAAGCGGTCGCAGAAGATCAGTGAGTATGTCCGAGAATGTGGCCGATTTTCATTCACTGAGCGATCTCTCCGTAGAAAGTAGTGTAAGATGCGCGATTCCGGTCTGCCATTAAATAAGGCCACCGCTATCTCACTGTTGCTTTGCAGATAGTACTTGGCTGCGCATGGGTTAGCGGTAAATTCCCGAATAAAGAGACCTAATAATACTGGGGATACCAGTTTCTGCAGTATCCTCAATGAATTCAATCATAAAGCCGGCTTATCCTCACACATCGGAAATAACTCCATTAAACACAAAACTGAGATATTAGGATAGCTAAACAACGGAAACAGCCACGTGATTAGATGAAAGCAAATGGGACAAATGTTGACGAGTCTCGGCGTATATAACACATTATCCGTAAATCACCCGTTTCCGACTTTTATCGTACTATTATCAATCTGGTATTATGCTATTCTTCAAATATGTAGTTAATCTGGTACCGTGTCTGTGGAGATTGGTGTAATTATCCGACCCGAATCGCAAAGTGCTCGCTTCTGATAGTTGCCTTTGGTTGTGTTATGCTATGTAGATACGCACATAATAAGCGAGCTATTTAATAAAAATGTACAGTAATCTGGTAGTGACTGAGTGACTTAAGTCATTGTCATTTTGACCCGTAACGGCACACAAGTCCCAAGATTCGAATCCCGGTACCATCAGTCAATTTGATGAAAATTAGTTCGACCGTCATCTTGTTTATTAGCAAGTTTATCTCATTGGGCCATATTTTGATACATCGTTCAGTCGGTGAGAAGACAGATTCCCTTGACTATAAGGTTTACACCTTCGGCTGTTAGCCACATTTAGATGTGAATATATATATATATATATATATATATATATATATATATATACTGTCGAATCACTCATATGGTGCTTATTATGAAATACTCTATAAAGTCATGATGTTATCGTTAGTAGTCTCTAGCCCACCAACAAAACAGCGAATCATAGAAATGATTCCTCAATGGACGGGCTCTGAAAAAGCTCTCTTTCCAAAATTACCCGATGTTGCAAATGAGGTTATTGTGACGAACACATATGTACATATTCATCACATGGTTGTGAAACCTACATGTTTCAGAGAAAGTTGGCCAGTTTTCGTATAGTATCGGCTGTTTTAGTTCAACCGCATTTTAGTCCCCGCGAAAACTGAATTACTACTGCAAAGCTAAATGGTAAAGTACCAAGTGTTGAGATATTTACCCAAATTTACCGCATCGGATGATACCGTGTGATTAAAGACAATCACAGAAAAGTAAAATACAAAGCACGAGAATCACAGAAAAGGAAAATTGGCATGAGATATTGGATAAAAAGCCCCATTTTACCCTAGTATCACTCTTAAACTCAAAAATGCTCCCACGGAATGCCCTTCTCAAAGCATCTGCTGAAGCATTCTTACTCAATGGTTTCTCGTGGTGATGGTGTTTCGCTTAGGGAGTAGAAGCTTCCTAATTATAATCCTCTTCCCTCAAGAGAGTGTGCGAACTGGATCCAGGCTAGAAATCCATGGTAACCGGCTTCATTGAACGAACGGACTTATTTTTCATTTGAAAAACGTGAATTACGTCCTAGAAACATAAGATCCATCTTAATGAACACCAGCCTTCGATGGACTGCGGTTTTCGCGCACACCACACATACACAAACACACACATCATCATCAGCAGCAGCAGCAGCATTATCATCATCGCACAGCGAGATACAGTGAAGCGAGCTTCAATTATCGCTGTAAAAGGCATATGTACTGGTCTGAGTAGTATCTTTTGTACGAACATATCATTGAATGGTCAAAGATTTTTCGCAAAATAATTGCTCTGACACAGTCTGAGACAAGTGTAAAATGCAGATTCGGTTACAGTTTGTACAATCATTAACTTGACACTTTCCGTTGGCACTTTTGATTACCATCATTCGGTTGTCTGTTTGTTCGAACCATGATGACGGAGGATATAGAAAGCCGGGAGCAGTGCCGAAATGAAAACGGAGAAATCAAATAGACTGAGGTTGCGATGAAAGTGAGTTGATGCATGAGCACCACTGTTTACGGCATTTAGCTCTATATTATTCATAGCCTCTAACCGTTGACAACAATTCATTGGGTCAAAACACCAACAGTTTCTCAGTGCTAATCCCCTATAAAACAGGTGACACGCCCAAAGGCCCCAATACCAATATGTAAAGGTTAGTTGTCTATATAATCAGCTGTGAGTTCCATTTGAGAACTCCAATGATAAGAAATATTAGTGATCTAAAAATGACTCAGTAATCATGTGCACCAGGAAATACAAAACGATAAACAGAGAAATACCTATTGATACCAGTGTGCTATACCTTGTGTTTATGAGCGAGGTCTGTTTTAACAACTTGCAGTGCTGGAACAATGGCCACTTCAGACTTGAGCAACTCAGTGGCATACAGGAGTAGGTTTGTCGCTTCGGGCCACGCTCGAGCCGAGACCAAGGTTGTTAAAGCGTCCGGGGTATTGCGAAGTCTATCTAACACGTCAATCAACTCCAAGCATCGGCGTTGCTCAATTAACTCGAGCCACAGTCGTCTGAGTTCCTCACGATTGCAATTTAACAAACCTTTGCATTCGAAAAGATCACGTTTGATTTTTCCCACCGCATTCATATTCGCTATTGAGGAAGATGACGACTGGACGAGAATAAAACTAACCTGAAACCCGTTCCGAAACATTATTGTACACAGTCAGGATCTTTGTGACATCCGAAAACTTTTCTAGAAAGCACATTAAAAAGTAAGTTTGCAATTATGGAGACAAACTATAATGTGTACCTTTTAGACAGGTGTTCAAAACGACACCAGTTTCGGTGAAATCTGACTCCAGCTGACGTTTCTTCTTTTCCCGAATATCTTTGGAACTACTACAGAACAAAATGCATAGTGAGTCAGCAAGCACAAACTAACTTTTCCATCAGACTTCGGATGAAAGACATGAGATACGATGATTGCGTCTAAAAGGAAAAACATGAGACGGGCACAGAGAGTTACCATCTTTAGAGCAATTTCAATAACCGTTGACTAGCTAATTCGAATAACTCCTTTTGTTGACGAACGCTTCACGGCAATATATTTGCAGCGGCTAATTAATTAATTATCTGAAAAAAAGCAAATGAAAAAATTTATTGCATGAATGGGATGGATCGATCGAAATGAAGCGGGCAAACCCCGCGTGACGATCATTCGAACTATAATAAGGAATGGAATAAGCATTTGAAAAATGGTCTAATGAATCTAACGGATTCTTGCGTTAACTGAACTGTGTGATGTTTTAGACAATTTCTTCAAAATATGCAAATGGGGTACTAGAGATGTTGATTATTTGTGATCAGAGATCCCACGGAAAATGGTTCCGAAATTCCTCTCAAAAAGCTTTATTGTTCCTCGATCCGTCTCACTTAGCACAATAAAAACTATGAAAAATCAACAAAAAGCACAGATAGGGCGCTCCTATCTATTCACACTCCACGCACCTTTCGTTGACCGTAGGATTACATAATGAAGTGGAATTACAGTACAATAGGTAAATCCTATGGTCTGAACACCCACTGTATATCAACGGAGAGCGATGCAGAAAAATTACGTTTAAATTGGTTTGTTGATTTTTTGCCAAACGTAAATGGCGGGGGGGGGAGGCGTTCCACAGCTTAGCTACAGGTGAGAACGGTTATTAACTAGGGATGACTCGTCGCCTATATCCCGCTAAGACGACTGAACAGAAAAGGTGACGGGAGGGGCAAAGACAAGATTCTAGAAACAGGAACCACAACAATAAAGTCAAAATGGGTTTAATGCAGCCAAATGGATGAACGTTCAGCTTGATTCACATAATACAAAATAACGATAAAAAAGAGGAAAAATGAAGCAACCACCCAGCACTGGATCACCAATAAAACGATCAGGAAGAAACGGAGCAACGTAAGAGGCTCCGCTTTTTGCTTCTTACATTAACTAGTTGAAAAACAAAAACCGGTTCATGTCGGTGGTTTTGTGAACTGAAAATGAACTAAATACGGACGAATTTTTTCGAGATGCACAGTGAAACCAAATCTGGCTGCCGAGCGTAGCTGGTCAATGATGAGAGACTACGGATAGTCAGTAATTACGGTCTCCAGGACTTTGGAACTGATGGGAATAATGGGAATAGGACGGACAAAACATTTGTTTGATCTCTATGATCATTGACATGTTTCGAGTTTGTACAAAACTGGGACAAGATCAAGGAAGGGATGAGTGGTCTGAAAAGCAAAAGATTGTTCTTCATGCATACACACATAGGGGATCGTATTGTCGGGTTAGTGCAGTGAAGGACGGCAGGATGCATGCACCGCGGAATAATATCGGTGAAAACAGAATTGTTGATAGTCAAGTCAGGGGTGAAACAATAACTGTTTCGTTTATATGAAATGGAGAAATCGCAACTTATAGAGGGATCATAGAATAAGACAAAAGTAACGGTCAAAAGAGGTAAATTGGAGTTTTGACCACATCCGTTTGAAGTCCCTGTGTTATGTTAAACTCTTGCTTGTTGTTTCATATTATTTTATACTCGTTCCTCTAAATTTTCTCCCCATTCCTTTCAGCCCCTGTCATCCTGCATGCTTAATAAAGCCTAGATACCGGGCTTTTGTCTTCTCCCTGTTCAACAGCTGCTACAATCGTCTCTGACATCAATNCAATTTATTCCACATACAAATGATCTGAAAATGGAACGCTACCTCCGAACCGAAAGGTTTGATACGGACCCGAACACCCCTAATTCCTCGAAAATGTGGGAGCACTGGTTTTGTACCTTCGACAGATTTCTTATTAAAATCGAGGTTGAGGATCCCGAAAAATTGGATTTACCGTACAATTACATAACTCCAAGTATCTATGATTATGTTTCGGATTGCACATCGTACAGTGATGCTGTGAAAACCCTGGAAAAGATGCTTATCAAGCCGCCAAATGAGGTGTTCGCCCGGTATCTACTGGCTACCGGCAAACAGGAACCAGAGCAAAGTTTCCATCACTTCTTTCAGAAGCTCAAAGATTGTAACTTCAAGGCCGTGATGGCGGAACATAATCGAGATGACATCATACGAGACGCCTGCATAAGCAGAATGCAGTCAAGCGTTGTGCGACAGCGTCTTCTTGAAAACAGACGTCTGCACCTACCGACCGCCTTAGAACTAGCTCGATCACATGAAACGGCACAACATTCAAATGTTTTTAGACACCATCAATATCGTATAGAGCAGCCTCGGAGAGCAGAGCTGTATGCTACCGAGCGCGTCCCCAGGTCGCGGATAGGGGAACGGCCGTCATCTCACGGCTAAGCGTGAATAAGGTGGGCCTCGGCCCTCCGAATTAACGGTCGCGGACGATCAGTGGCAGAGCTCGAGGATGTGGTGGGTTTACCCCTGGCAAGGGTTCTCCGTACAAAACGCCACATATATCTGCGGACAGCGCTGTGACGTGGCGAGTGTGGCCCGCCTCTAAACAGGGTCACTGCTCCTCGTCAATATCCATTGCTCGACAAGGCTTTCCAGAAGAGGCGAATGAACCAACTACTGGCCACCGGCTCATCTGGAATATCGCTGCTGCCTTGCAGTCCGCGCT